GGTCGCACAGAGAAGGTGCTCGCCCTGTGCTGCCTTGGCGATGCGCCCACTGCATAAGCCACTGCTTGCAGCATAGGGTGAGCATGTTCTCTGCGCAGCCCTGCTGTTCCCTGCTTCCCTGTCCCAGGTGCCTCCGCAGCCCAGCGGGCATGACTTGGTGCAGCAGGGAGCTCGTAGCCTCTCCACGCAGCCCCGCTGTTCTCAGCTGCGCCGAGTCATGCCCGCCAGGCTGGAGAGGCACCCAGGGAAGGGAAGCAGGGCAGAGCAGGAGTGGCGAGCAGCTGGTGATCCCTGCTGCCCTGCTTCCCTCCCCCGGGTGCCTCTTCAGCCTGCCCTGCGCTGCCCTGGCGACGCACCCCCTGCGCGTGCCGCTGTTTGCAGCGCAGAGCTCGCAGTCACTCTGTGCTGCAGTTATTGTATTGTGTGATTGCTGTTTGAATTTGTCATGGTTTGGGGGGGGCAGTAGAGTGAGGCTGGTATTACATGTAATAATGGATTTGCTTTATGTGAATTCACTTTATGTTAGGGATTTTTGAAATACAACCCTTGCATAAAGAGAGACCTGAGTGTAATCCCCTTTGCCAGAGTTCTTTCCTTTCCAGCAGCACTAGATGGAACTTTGCACTCAGTTCATAATGATCCCTTATGCCTATGATCTCATCTCTTCATAGCTAGACTCGATCTCTTTTGTCACTTTTCCTTCATCTGCAAACCCTCTAGACTATTTATCAGCTCAGGTACTGGAGAGAGTTCAGCCAGCTTGCACTTTATAAATGGATGCCACATCTTTAGTCTTGCATCATTTAGCAATGCTAGAAATGCTGAATGTCAGATACCTGAGAGCAGGGCTGTCCAGCTGGTGGGCTGTATGCAGCCCACAAGGGTCAGTGTGCAGGGGATTCCTACCTGGCTGATGTTTCCCCCCATTGCTTCAGCTGCTGCTGCCCCAGGCAGTGGGGTGGTTGAGCCCACAGCGTATGTGAAGCCTATGGTGCAGTGCAGTGAGGGAGTTAAGGTGGGGGCTTCCCACATGCATGGGGGCGAGGGGAGAGGCAGTGCAACAGCCACCTATACACAGGGACCCATAGCTCACACCAATGCAGCCTTGCCGGTGTGGCCTGCACAGTATGCAGCTCCTGGACACTTTAGAAGTTGGACAGCCCTGCCTTAGAGGCTGCTGAGAGCACTGTGATTTATCACCACCTGGGAGATTTGGGATATGTTCTTCCTAACCTGGTGAAGTCTAATCTGTTTGGTCTAGATCAATAAAAATATCCTGGTCTCTAAAGTAAGATTAAAGTTCCAGTATCAAAAATTGCAGTCCAAATTGTTCAAGCTCAGCTGCTGGACTGAGCCTGGAGGCTCCTGAACTCACCTCCCACCTCCCCCATTTCACTTTCAGGTTCCTTGAGCATCTTGAGGTCCACCTATTCACATGCCTCTAAATGCCCCAATCCAAGGAGCTATGACCCCAGCTTACTCCTACCCCATGTCTTCCCTGGTGGGGCTCAATTTATTAGGCTTCCTGAGACCATGCTTAATGCACACTGAAGGGACTGGACTCCCTGCAAGATGAAAGTGCAGTGCTACTTTTTTTTTAAACTGCAGAAAGGAGAAGAGGATTGTAGTGGTTAACACACTTTCCCAAGTGTGAGAGCTCATGTGAGAGTCAGACTTCCAAGGGTGGTGGCTTATTTATTTATTTCGAATGAAATAGCACCTGGATAAAATACAGATATTATTGGGAATACTCCCAAACCTAGACTACCCTCTGGCTAATCAGCTGCCCTAAGCACTAGGCTCGCTTCTGTGCTCTTTCTTTTTTCCTCTAATCCAGTGGAGTTTGAATTCTTTCATGGCCCAGGTCCAACAAGAGGGCTGTAGAATGACCCCACCTCAAACACCCTGGTGGGCTGCTAAGAGACAAGGCCGGGGGGAGGGGGGGGTGAGAGCAGGACTGAACTAATACGGTAAAGATTGCTGCTCCTTTTCAACATTGGATCTGAATTTTTAAAGGTAAGCTTTGTCTGTGGTGTAAAGGTTCTGGTTATTGGTTTGTTTCTGTATTTGTAGGTGAACAAGGTACTAAGGAATCATTTAATTAGGCCTCATTGGATGTTTGCAATGGATAATATAATTCGCCGAGCAGTCCAAGCCGCAGTCACTATTCTTATTCCAGGTAAATTTCAACCTCCCAGAACTGTTCTCTGAATGGAACAGCTCCAGGCACTGGTCATCACAAACACATGCACTTTTTCCAGCTGATGAATCCATCTTGTATTGGATCTTTTTGTAGAGGGGAAATAGGAACTTGGGTGATTTTTCTTCGGCCTTGTGGATGGCAACCTGCAACTACCACGTTGTGTATTGCCAGTGACCTAGATTCTGCAGAAGGAAAAGATTTTACTTTTTTTTGTGTGACTGACTGTGGTGGGGAAAACCTAAATCTAAAAGCTTTTGGAATTAGGCAATAACTTACCCCTACATTAGAAGGCAGGAGGAAGGTGGTTTCTACAACTCTCCCCCACCATTTTATAAACAGTATTGTGAGGGCATGCAACTGGCTCGAATTATTCATTAATTCTGCTATGTCACAGGTATATCTCCCAGTCTGTAAGAAGGTCATAAATTCTGTAGGATAGAGACCTGTTTACATGTAAGCTAGTAGTGCCACTCTTTCTAATCCTTTTTGGAATTGATGTCATAAAGTCTGTGGTCTGATTAACATAAGAGACTGCACAAAGTATTTAAATTTCATACTATTACATTCCACCCCGCATTTCTGGTTTCTGTCCCAATAAATAGTATTGTAAAGTACATTCCATTTGGAAACTTTCAGGATAAAAATCCCCTTTTAGTGAACTGTGCCAGCATTTTTCATTAACAGGGAACTGTGCTACTTTTAGGGACTGAAAAATGCCTGGAAGTGGTCTTGCTGTCCAGTGATGTTTATTGAATAGTGTTACTGTAGTGACTTTCTCATTGTTTTGTGCAGAGCTTCGAGCTCACTTTGAGCCAGCCTCAGAGACTGAAGGTGTGGACAAAGATGGAGAGGAAGTGGAGAATAACTACCAGCCAGCTGAACAAAATGGAAATGAGGAGCCAGCTGTTGCATCTGGAGTGAGCACGATCAGTTCTGTGGCATACCATGACTCAAAGCAACGGCAGCTTAGCTTGGAATTAGGCAAAATTAAACAAGAAACCAACAGGTAACTTTCATGCAGACCTGATGTAGCCTATGTGCTCTTTGGAAAAACACTTGCAAAGATCAATCATGCTCCAGAATGCTTCTTCATAGACCTGTTCACCCACTGCAGTATCCACTAGTTAGTAGCATTTTGGAGCAGGGGCTACTTGACCAGAGCTTAGCTCTGAGCATGGGCCCCTTCCAACCTAGCCTGCACTACCACCACTCCAGCCATAGTCACCTGCTGTGGCTCCCGGCAGCTGCACAGGCCAAGTCCTGCACTGTCCTCACAGCCCTGCAAGCTGTATGTTGCTAACCCCACTCTAGTCAAAGAAGAATTTGTAGTTCACTAAATGGACTTAGAAAGATGCTCAGTAAACCTGTGCGAGTTGGCAGCAATCCGATCCGGCTTCAGATCCAGCTGCTTTGGATGGCCGCGATTCAATCGGAGCTCCAACCATGGGGTATAATAGGGTATCAATGAAATATCTATAACTTTTTTGTCCGATTTGGATGAAACTTGCAGGGATGGTAGCCTCTGCTGAGAGCGTGAAACCTGCCAAGTTTCAGAAGATTGGTGAAGGGGCTTGGGGAGAACTGTACCCCATATTCTTGAAAGCCAAACTCATGTCATGGCTGTGTGTTACAACACAGGGGGATGAAAACTGCAGGTAGCTCTTACTGTGGCCACAAAGCCAGTCATGTTTCAAGGAGATAGGTGCAGGGGTTTAGGGGGAACTGCACCTGAAGCTGCAGACAAGACAAACTCGTGCCATGGGTGATCCTGTGTGTGTTCAGGTGCAGCAGGGTGACAGCTGCAGGGATGGTAGCCCCTGCCACGGCCACAAAGCCTGCCAGCTGTCGAGAAGATCGGTGCATGGGGGTTCTGGGGCCCTGCACCCCTACATGCTGACAGGCAAAAGTCATGCCAAGACTGTCTGTCTCCATTCCTTCCTCTCCTTAATCTGGTTTTGTAGGTGCTAATTGATGCTCGTTAAGTCGTTATGTAGTAGCTTGGTCCTGTATATTGAGCTGGTGCCTGAGTCCCTGGTCCCTGAGTGAATCAGGATTGATTGATTGGTAACTGGTAACACAGTAGCTTAGCAGCCAGGCCTGCAGTAGTGTCTCCCCTCCCCGCCCCAAGCCAGAGACAGTCAGTCCCACAAGCACCCATGGCATCAGTTTTACTTGTCCGCAGATTGAGGTGCAGTTTTCCCCCAAACCCCTGCACCTATCTCCTTGAAACTTGGCAGGTTTTGTGCCCTCAGTAAGAGCTACCACCCCTGCAATTTTCACCCCGCTATGTTGTAATGCCTAGATGTGACATGAGTTTGCTTTCAAGAATTTGGGGTGCTGTTACCTCCAAACCCCTGCACCGATCTTCTTGAAACTTGGCAGGCTTCATCCTCTCTGCAGAGTCTACCACTCCTGAAAATGTAATCCAAAACAGACAAAAAACAACAAAGTTATAGATATTTTATTTTTTCCCCATTCTACCCTATGGCTGGATCTCCAAGGCGGCTCCGGAGTACTTCGGGAAGCCGAACGAGGCAGCACTTCGACCCGGATGTGCCGCTTCAGACCCCGAAGCATCCAAAGCTTCTCCGGAGCCAAAGCTCTGTCTGAAGCCTTGCACAGCCCTCATACTCAGCAATAAACTAGGCACTGTATGTTGCAGGACAACCTGCAACAGCAAAGTGTCAGGATCCCATTCTGTGAAGACGTGCACAATTTATTTACAAATTAGCAGTCTCAAGTAAGGGTGCCGGTTGTAAAACCGCTCTGTGTGCATGAGTTCTCATGACTAGTATCGAATGGCAGTAACTAAAGACAGACTACTAGGTAATTGTACTCATTCAAATGACAGCTACCTGGCTCTGTAACTACCATTTTTGGTATTTATGCAGATTGCAATCCTGCTCCATGTGCCATGTTGACACATAAGCAGCTCGGCATGCAAATATAAGTTACAAAATGATGTCTGCCAAAGATCAGTGGCTCTCAGATACTAGATGGAGAAGGTGGCAGCAGCAGCCCTGCAGCATTATAAGCTAGTAGCTATTTGCCTATGACACCACCAGGCTGCTGCTGCCACCAAATGCTATGTCTTTTGCCCAGGAAGTAGAAGACCTAGATATTGGGCACCCTTCAAGAGTGGGTTTGAATCTGTATTTCTGACTGAACAGCACAGTCCTCTAACATCCAGACCACCATCCTGTGTGCTCTCCAGCCATCCTGCTGATGCTGTCCTCCTGGGCAGCAAGAGAAGGAGATATGTGGGGCCAGGACCAACTGGGGCAAGCCAAAAGGCACGTGGCTTAGGGAGATGGCTCCTAGAGTTTAGCCTACGCCCCTGTGCTCAGTGGAGCAGAAACTTCCCAATGACTCTGAAATACCTCAGGTAGAGGGCTCTGGCCTAGCGATTAAAGCAGTATGTTGGCAAGTTGGAGATGCGTGTTCAAACACTATCTCGGATGAAGGTGGCCCTGGCATTGCGAAGTTTTTCCTCTTCTAACAGGTACCAACTTTAATAGGTCAATGCATTCCAATGCTAACTTTAATGCATCACAGCCTTCCAAAGATTTACAACTACTGAAAGTGAACATGGGACAAGGCCCCGGCAGCAAAATTCTGAACATGAGATCAGGAATGTTTAGTCCTCAACCCAGAGACAGCAGCTAACAAAAGTGAAGTCTGTGTTTGTATTTGGAGTCAAATGAGAGTGGATGCACGGGAAAACAACACAAGAATATGGATGTCTCATATCAAATAAATCCTTTTATGTTTGTTCAAGTTAATCATTGGAAAATGTGAATATTTTGTTTTAAACTTTTCCCTTAACTGACCCGTTTGCCTAACAGGCTTTTGGAAAACTTGGTTCAGAAGGAGAAAGAATATCAGTCCCTCTTACGACAAACTCTAGAGCAACGGACCCTGGAGTTGCACCTGCTTCAGTTGAAGTCCAAGCCTGCAGGTAGGATATAGCTGTCTGCTACCTGCTCAGTTCCAACAAGTTAAAGATTTAGATAGAACTTTTTATGAAACGTTCAAACGAGCTAAGTAATTTTGTCTGGCTTTAATATGGGGTTTGGAATAGTTTGAGATTGCGTGTTTACTGTTCTATGTCCCTGGATAGGCAAAGGACAGCCTAACCATAACTCAGAGTCTGTTACAGAATTTCAAGAGCCTCTATCAGATGTCAGACAGAATGTAGATCCAGAGCTCATCAACTGGTTGAACGAGCAAGGAGTGGACTCAGATGCAATAAAGAAGGTAAAAAACCAACAAAGTCCACAGAGCAGAAGTAAAAGCCTATTTGCTGTTTATTAAAATCAGTTTGCAATCACTGAGCTACTACTCTAAGAACAACTTTGCTTTTCAGTTTGCTGAAGAGGATTATACTCTCAACGATGTCCTGAATAATATCACTAAAGAAGACTTGAGATACCTCAAACTGCGGTAAGGAATTGTTGAATACCTCTAGAAATCTGATAGCCATTTGCCTATTGTCTTAAACTTTCTGTGTGAGGTCCTTTTCATCATTAACTTATTTAATACAAGAAGTCTTTAAATAGTCTTTGAAGTTTACTATAA